CCCCACACGTCCAGGTGGAGAGTCTGCAGGGGAGCCTCTGTGGGAGGGAACGAAGAGGAGTGAGGAGCGGCGCGCTGCCGCCCCTCGACGCAGGGAATGCAGGGCGGCGCAGGCGAGGGAGGGAGGGGAGGCAGAGACCTGGGAAGACCAGAAACCAGGAAGCGGGAGTGCGTGCTGCGTAGGCGAGGCAGGGAGGGGTGACCAAGGCGGTGGTGCCACAAGAGAGTGTCGTGCGACAGCCGGCGACACTCACACTGTGTAGCTACCTGAGCAGACGCGTGCAACTGGGGAGACAAAGGGGCAGAGCGCGACGTAGTGGTGAGGGTGTACAGACTGGACCCTGGCGCACGAGCGAACGTGGCCAGGTGGCGACCAGTTTGGGAGCACGTGCAAATCGCCACACGCTGCCGGCCAGGGGTGAAGGTGTCAACCCCCGCATCCTGGAGGACAGCGTTACTCACCAAGTTCGTAGAGAACGAGGGGAGGTGGAGACCAGACAGCTTACCAGACGGGACCGCCGGACACGAAAGCATGGTGGAAGACCGTGCAAGCACTGGGCCCCAGAGGGGTCAGCCAGTGAGACAGGAACAGGTGCAGGGAGGGGAGTGACTGTGGTACTATCGCGAAAGAAACAGCGGGAAGCACCAGAGTCAAGTGTAAAGGTGTGCAAAGCCTGTGCAGGCGCAGTACCAAGGGGAGCAGACTCACAAGCACCTAGTGCTGCAGGGGCTATACCAGGGGCTATACCAGGGGCTATACCAGGATCCGGCGGCACACACAAGTAGCAGTCACCCTCAGCACTAACAGACAAGGCATACATAGCAGCAAGAATTGCCTCATAGTCAAGATCAAAGATAGGTACATCACGCCTAAGCAAGTCTGCCCAGTTGGGGAACTCAGGAGCATCAGGAAACTTGGCGCGCCAGGCGTCGCTAAGCCGAGCGAAGCAGCGCTGCTCAGTGTGAAAACCTGTGCACTGGCGACCAGCGCGGGGATCTGTGCGGATGATATAGGGGCAGCGACCAGGACCCCCAGAAGCCCCACGCCCGGCACACCAGTCAAGAAGTTGCTGGGAAGTGGGGGTCTGGCGCTGACGCTGATGCTGCTGCTGCTGCTGCGGCTGCTGCTGGCCCTGACCAACAATGCCACTACCGCTCCCTCCTCCCCCACCGCCGCTGCTGCCGCCTCCACCGCTCCCAGTGCCTCCGCCGCCCCCACCACCACCTCCACCGCCTCCACCCCCACGAACACCCCCACCACCTCCACCTCCCCCGCCGCCTGCACCACCGCCACCTCCACCACCACCCCCACCGCCCCTGCCACCCCTGCCGCCCCTGCCGCTGCGACGCTTCCCACTAGGAGCGGAAGCAGCTCCGACCCCCTCAGCACCAAGGTAGTCGTGAGCAGCAGCTGCGGAGGCGTAGGAGGGGGTGAGAGGGGAGGGGGTGTCAAAGTTATATTTAAGATATATCCTGCTTGCTGTAGTTACTGTAGTTATAGTTCTTTGCTGTTGGTGGTGCACCTCTTGTTTGTGTTTCTCGACTATATCTTGTATGCTTTGCTTTAGTGAAGCTAACTTGTTTGGTCAATTTCTCTCGACACTCCCTTGGCCTTGACCTCGACAATAGCTTGGCCTAGGCTACTAAGCCTAGGCCCTCCTTAAACCCGGTTACCCGCTTCGATAGTGTTTTGACAGGGGGAGCACCCCTCAAAGAGGGGAGAGCGAGGAGTGCCACGAGCAGCACCTACAGCGAGGATGTTCTTCTCTGCTGCGAGGAGGTGCTTCTCGAAGTCGTCGACAGTGAGAGTGGTGGGGTCTAGCGCTAGGAAGTGGTCCCTGACAGAGCTAAGAGTGTCAGGGAGGTGGGTGACGAGGAAATAGAGAGTGAAGTACATCGGGGGGGAGTTTGCGGCGCAGAACTCGGTTGAAAGAGCGGCACGAAAGCGAGAATCAGTAGCGCGCAGGTGAGAAACTAGGTCCTCAGCAGTGGTGAACGAGGAAAGATCGGGGAACAGGTACGGTAGCATGAGTCGACCTATGGCTGCAGTGGCCGGGGAGGAGTAGCGCGCAACTACAGCGTCGTACAGTGTCTTAGCAGTTCTGTGCTGGCTGAAATGCGCTCGCTCAGTAATCGGCAGGTGGTTCCTAATAGCTAGGCGTGCAGCAGCATCACGAGTCTGCCACTGGGAGCGTTCTAGAGCAGGAGCATCAGCAGCAGGAGTAACGGCAGTGCCAGAGACGTAATCAAACAGGGAAACGCCCTCTTTGGCATCACTCAGAAGGAACAGCTGGAGATTGTCTAACCACACAGTGAACTCGATGGGACGACCGTCAGGCTCGAACGCTAGAACGTTGGGCGTCGCCATATTGGCTTAAGGCAGGAGGCAGCAGGCAGTAGGCAGCAGACAGAGGCAACAGGCACCAGGTAGGAGGCAGGTGGCAGGCAGGCGGCAGCAGGCAGGCGGCAGCAGGCAGCAAGTAGCAGGCAGACAGCAGGCAGCAGGCAGGCAGCAGGCAGGCAGCAGGCAGGCGGCAGGCAGGCGGCAGCAGGCAGCAAGCAGCAGGCAGGCAGCAGGCAGGCTGCAGGCAGGCGGCAGCAGGCAGCAAGCAGGCAGGCAGGCAGGCGGCAGGCAGGCGGCAGCAGGCAGGCTGCAGGCAGGCGGCAGCAGGCAGCAAGCAGGCAGGCAGGCAGGCGGCAGGCAGGCGGCAGCAGGCAGCAAGTAGCAGGCAGGCAGCAGGCAGTAAGTAGCAGGCAGGCAGCAGGCAGGCAGCAGGCAGGCGGCAGCAGGCAGCAAGCAGCAGGCAGGTAGGCGGCAGGCAGGCGGCAGTAGGCAGCAAGTAGCAGGCAGGCAGCAGGCAGTAAGTGGCAGGCAGGCAGCAGGCAGGCAGCAGGCAGGCGGCAGGCAGGCGGCAGCAGGCAGCAAGCAGCAGGCAGGCAGCAGGCAGGCTGCAGGCAGGCGGCAGCAGGCAGCAAGCAGGCAGGCAGGCAGCAGGCAGGCTGCAGGCAGGCGGCAGCAGGCAGCAAGCAGGCAGGCAGGCAGGCAGGCGGCAGGCAGGCGGCAGCAGGCAGCAAGCAGGCAGGCGGCAGCAGGCAGCAAGCAGCAGGCAGGCAGCAGGCAGGAGGGCTGCGTGAGGCTGCTGGCTGCGTGTGGCGGCTTGCTGCACGAGGCTGCAGGCTGCGCGTGGCTACGGGCAGCACGCGCGGCCGCAGGCTGCGTGCGGCGACGGAATGCGCAGGCTGCGCGTGGCTACGGGCTGCTTGCAGCTGCGGGCTGCGCGTGGCGACAGGCAGCGTGCGCGGCTGCAAGCTGCGTGCGGCTGCGGGCTGCTCTGGGCGACGGGCCGCACGTGCGCGGCTGCGGTCTGGTCGCTAAGCTGCGGGCTGCGCTGGGCGACGGGCCGCGCTAGCGTGGCCTAACCAGGTTGCGCGCGGGCGGCTTAAGGGGCGCACAGGTGGGGCCGAAACGGGCTGCGCGGGCTGCTAAAACGGCGCACGTGGGAAAAAAAAAGGACCGCCCGAGGCGCGCGCGGGCAGCCGAGGCGCGCGTAGGCACTAGACAAGGTAGGCAAGCGTGGTGGGCCCTAATCCTAGGTCCTAAGGACCTATGCTCTGATACCATGTTAGAATCATAGGCAAAAAGTGATTTGGACTATCGAGAGGGTTGGTACAAAGAATGAACCTAAGGGGTTGTACCCCACAGTATGTACCCCACTAAGCCTACCCAAACTATAACATAGATATACATATGTTTGACACGATTCCTCTCGTGCTTTCTCGTCTTCACTAATACATGGCGCCATCAGCACCAGAAACGACGGGCTGTTGGGAATCGAACCCATCGCGAGCGCCGCCGAACCTCCTCTTGTCTCGCCGAACACATCGCTCCCGTTCGACGCGATCCGCAGCGCATGCTGCGAGATGGTCGTCGGCCACGTGGCAATTCCTGTCGGTGTCGTAGGCCCGCTACGACTCGACGACGCGTATTTTTTCGTGCTAATGGCGACGACCGAAGGCTGCCTCGTCGCCAGCACGAACCGCGGTTGAAATTCCATCTGCGCCGCGGGCGGCGCGCAAAGCGTCGTGCTGCGCGACGGCATGACCCGCGCATGACCCGCGCGCCCGCTGTCCATTCCCCTGCTCCCTTTACTCCGCACTCCGTCCACTCCCTCTCTCCCCCGGTCGTCTCCCCCCCAACCGTGCTAGTCTTCCCTCCTCTCTCCCTCCTTTTCCCTCTTTCCCTTCCTCACCCTGCCTGTCAATCCGGTTCCTCCCCCAAACCCTGCCCCTGCAGCTTTAACGTGTCGCAAGCAGAAGTGAAGCCGGGGTGTGTGTGTCAAAAAGCACGATCACGTACTGGTGTCCCAAGTTGAGGAGGAAAGAGAACCAAAGGCTTAAGGGAAGTGATGATACGGTAGCACGGCTGGTGATGATTCATGAGGCATGTTAGCTTAGCAATGTTTCGGAAGGCTGCTACTGACTTAGTACATAAAATAGAGATTTCTAATTATAACAGACTTTTATATTATTGAACACTGATGCATCAGCCTTTTTTCAAAGGCAACACTGATATTTCAGGCTTTTTTTTTTTAGGAACACTGTCAATCAGGGTTTCTACACAGGGGTACCCTGATGGGTCGACGACCCCAAAAGTGAATCTGAGGCCCTGATATGAACCCCCTTCCAGCTTGATACTGAGTTGGCCAGGCGACTCAACCCATCGCTTTACAATGTTCATGTGAGTGCAGCACGTAGACGTGCGACGGCTAACATTCTTTTGGCGGGAGCTCACATTTTTATCATTATTGGCGATAGCCAATCACATCAGTTCGATCTGAAAAGTTTGGATGATTGAAACAGTGCCTTTTCGCCCTGATATCTTTCTCTTTGAGAAACTCCTTGCAGCACTCTTTCAAGCTGAGTCGGGGCTCACTATTTCAGCTGCTGGCTTTAACTCCATACCGTAAGTCACATTCACATTCTTCAAGACAGGTGCATGCATCAATGCTCCAGATTGAAAACATATTCTGTCAGACGCTTCACCTGAGCTAGTTGCCTCTGCTCCTCCTCTATTTCCTTGTCCTTCCCTCCTTGGACCACTGGTGGTGTGAACATGTCTGTCGTAGAATCATATTCCCAGTCCCTGACCTCCACTGTTCACCCGGAACCAACAAATGCACGAGGGGGATGGGTTGAACTGGGTTGCAGAACATTTAGTATGTCCCTTCCATGAGAAACATTAATGTGTTGAGAGCAGGACAATGATGTGCCTTGAAAACACAGAGGAAACAGCATGAAACAGGTGTGAGAAATGGAACCGAATGGCAAGGAAGATGAGGCTGGGCAAAAGAGTGGAGAGGTGGATGAAGCAAGATAAGTGGGGTTGAAGGGGAGAATGCTCACAGAATGAAAGAGCCTCTTGGGAGGTGAGACCGAGGAAGGTGGCAGCATGTGAGGGTGAGATGGTGGAGAAAGAGCGAGCCAACAGTTGTATCATGGTGTGTGTGTATCTGTCTGCAACGCAGTGAAATGAAAAGGAATAACAGTAAGGACAACATGGCATGATTCGGTAGCACATATGTCCAGATCAGAATCATTAAAAAAAAAACCGCACTACTTGCTTTTTGATAATTTCAGCCAAAAGCACAAAGAAGCACATATGAATGACACTCAGACGGGAAGATCAAGCACAGGCATGGATCCCGAAAAATGCGGCTATGAAGGTGGATTCAAGTACCTTTGACTGCAGCGACCATGGGTTGCACAGCAGGCGACCAGACAAACACTTTCAAGGCCTCGTAAACATCTTGGCTGTCTCGCTTCCACATAGCTTGTCCCACCCTCCACGTGGCTGCAAGCTCAGCATTGCCGTCTTTCACTGACGCAGGTATCCGCTTCCATAAAAACCGCGCCTCATTTCTTGAATGGAAACCCAAACAGATCAGAGAAAGAGGGTGGAGAGAAGAATCAGAAAGAGAAGATGAATCTTGGGTTGGATTAGACGTTGTGTGCACCGAAAGGCACCAGTCGTGAAAGACCCGCACACTTCGAAACATTTCCGAAAGCCAGGGACCAAACAGCGGCTTCCAAATACTAAGGTAATAAGGATTGCTTACAAATCTCCATCGTGAAGCAAGCCAAGCAGATGCAGCGACTGGATCGTTGCGGGTAGATGCGGTGCTCCCGATGCTGCAGCCTGCAACGTGAAGGAGAAAATCCGAAACGAACAGTAAATGCGCTGGGCTGGTGAAAAGAGCAGATTGGGATCCGTATCATTACGGGTGCGAACCAGATTAATACGCGACGCTCCGTTAGGCCAAATTCATCATGGAAGCCTAGAACTGATCATGGCTTAGCCATTGTCAGACGGCGTCAACAGGAAGGCTGAAACCTACGATATATGACCTGTCCAAGGAAGAGAAGAGTAAGACGCGCACACACCTCGAGCTCAAGCTGACCACATATTTCGGCTATCCTAGAGAAGTTCTTCGCGGCAACAGCAGCGTGCACAGATTCTTGGGTGACGGGGCTCACTGCTTCCACCGCCATGGCAAGCAATCTCTCACCTCGCACTGCAAGCAAAACCATCGTCAAAATTTACAGGCCCGTTAAATTGTGCCTGCTACATTTTCCGGTAAAATGACACCCGGCTTCTCCATTCAATGTTTTTTTATTTCACACAAGGATTTATAGGTGGCTTGATAACCATGCTGTAGTTGGTTCTTGAAAAGACAACCCAGAAGCTAGCTCCGCAAAAGAGACTTCAACTTTATTGAACACAAAAGTATGTAGGCTTTACAGAATACCATTCAGAACACGCTGGTAGTAGTCATACTGCCGGGTACTCCAAGCATCAACACTCTTGCTGATGAAAGACAGGATGAGCGAGACACATTGCTGCAGAACACGGACAAAGAGGGTTAGTTTCCGAGCTTGCATTGGAATGGAAGCAATCAACAGTCTTACCTCCTCTGTTAGTGTAAGGTGGAAACGCCTCCTCAAGTTATGTAGCACTCGGTGCTTTGCCTTGAAGCAGGGACACCGTGTTTGCTGAAAACATCATTACATGTCATTGAAAATTGTAGAGAACCGACTGTACCATGCTTCAAGCAGAACTGTAGCAAGATGCGCTCACATACCTGCATCATCTCAACCAGCAACAAGATGCGCTCTGCATGCTTGCGGCATGTAAGGAAACCTTGTATGCACAGGACCTGTAATGGCAGGCACAGAGCTGATTAGGGGGATAGACGAGGATGATATATTGATGGGGGGAACATTTGTGCAGAGCGGGAAAGAGCATGCAAGTGAAATATAAGGACAACTCACCTTGAAATAATCGAATGCCTCGCTTGGAGAACCATCGGCATCAGAATCCATAACCTGAACAGATGACAGCAAGTCAAGGGATCATCAAGCAGATGACAAGCCTGTAATTCCTCACAGTTCCTTCAAAATTGCAGCTGGGACAACATTGGTAGAACCTATATTTAATTGCCCACCTCAACCATTTCACGGGTGAGCTTGAAAGGTGCAGTTTCGAAGTTGACAGAGCCAGGAGAGTTGGAGAGCATGAAGCCATAGTCAATGTGGATGATGTGGCCCTGGTCATCCAGAAGAATGTTGCCATTGTGCCGGTCCTTCAGCTGCACCACAAAAGTACCCAGACAACGGGTTATTTATCTCAGGAGAAGGTGAAAGTAGAAAGACAGGAGGCTGACCTGCAGGAGGTAGCAGACAACGGAGTAGGCTGCCATGCTCTCAACAAAGTTCTGTTGAGCAACGCGAAACTCAGGAGACCCATGCTTGAATTTCTCGCAAAAGTACTGCCGCAAGCTCTTGATGTGGGGGTTGCGGCTCTTGAGGGCGTGCAACGAGATCTGCACAGAGAACTGACAGTGCTGAAGAAACAATATTCGTCGGAACATGCTTTCCGATATAAAAGGACATGATGTCACTCACAGCATCTGTTATGGTCTCAATGAGAGCAGTGCTGCCTGAAGTTACCAGGATCTCATACGGTCTTAGCCACAGTGGCAGCCCTGATTCTTGAAAAATGTCTGCAGGATAGGGTATGATGACATTGTTACACACACATGCTGCACGGAGGAGAATGAGCAGCAAGTAATGCTCAAAGGGTGCCACACGTCTTCCTCACCAGATAGGTGCGAGACAAGCTGCAAGGCAAAATGCTCCTGCCTGCAATCGTCGCCACTCTTGACAATCACTGACCGCAAGTCCCAGTCTGGCGATGTGCCAAACTTGGACGACTGCCGTATTCGTGTCTTAAGACTCTCCCAGCTCTCATCCACCCGTTGTCTCTCCAGCAGTTCCTGCATCCCCATCAGAAAAGTAAGCAATGTCATGGTGAGTTCCAAAGAAAACAGTAGTGGTACCTGATCGGTTGCAGAATCTGAAGATCAGAAGCACAGACCTGAGCAGGGCCGACTCCCGACGAAGGGCTGGTGACAGGCATGCCTGGAGGAGGCCCCTCGCCTTGATGGGTGACTGCCTGCCATGGGCAATGCAAGTGAAAGGCATGAGCACCTAAAAGTTGCTGATTGTTCCAGGGACAATCTTGAGTTTTACAGGCTAGCTAATATTATAGAATGTTGAGGTGCAGGGGGGCCAGGAGGCACGTACTCGGACGTGTGCGATGGCAAGGCTGCTGGGCACTCTAGCTCGGCCACGGGAGAGGCTGACAGCATCCAGGCCTGTGAGATCGTCAAGAGTCACCCCTGGCACCGCCACCAGCCTCACACTCACGTACTCCTCCCACTCTGCCTGCTCTGCATCGCCCCCCCCCTCTTTATCCGTGTTGGATGCCACAGAAGGGATGCTTGAACTCAGGTTGGGCTTGCTGCCTGCACCAGCCAGTGCTGCTCCAGCTGCTACTGCCTGCTGCACTTGACTCAGGATGTCTGTCCTGACACCAGCAGCAGGAGCAGCAGTAGCAGTAGCAGTACCAGGAGCAGCAGCGGGAGCAGGTGGTCGTTTGCAGACTTCAAGGCTGAGCTGCACGAGGCGCATGCGGGAGTACATGCTGGCCATGGCGCGGTCAAGAGCCACGTCTGACAACGTGCGAGAGAGACCCAGGGGGGCGTCCTGAGCTTGCTGAGAGGCGGGCCGCGCCTGACTCCACATGTGCAGCGCCCAGGGGGGAGGGCGCATGGGCAGGGGCTGGCTGGCTGCTAGGGGGATGCCTGTCTTGGCCGGCGCCATGCCCTCGGGTGCTGTGCCGGCCTTGCGTGCACTGTGCGCAAATGAGCAGATGAGCAAATAGAAGAGCGGAAAAAAGTGAGTAGGCGTGAGAGAGGACATTGACATTTGGGTGGGAAGGAGATAAAGGAGTAGCTTGAAGGGCGGTGGTGAGGAAACATGTAAGGGGCTGACCTCAAGGGGAGACAGTTGAGGACTTCGAGCAGCAGCATGAAGGGCACTCTGTCCCGCGAGCTCATGAGCACAGCCTCGTCCTCCAGTAGCCTCACCACTCTGAAGCACCCCTTGCCCATGGGGAAGAACACTCCTGTGGCACACAGCACGCCGAGAATGAGACACCTCCCCCACGCTCTAGCTACTACCCTGTTGCAGACGGCTTGCTTTAGACATGAGTTATGCATACTAACCCTCGTTTGCTGGCATGCCCGCAAGATGCGCGTTCAGCTCTGCAAGGGACTGCGGAATGAACACAATCAGTGCAACGGGCATTAGTGACTAACATGCTGCAGGAAGAAGATGGCCCAATGGGGTGCGGCCTTGCTCACCTCCCCGAGAGCCGTTTGCCTGTCCTCGTTGGGAAACACATCAACGATTCCAAAGGAGATGTCTCCAAGGGCCTTCACAAAGTCCAGTGTGGCCAGAACAGTGCTCTTCCTGATGCTGAACGACGGATGCTTGGGGAGCTTTGGTGCACCATACAGGCCTTCCAGAGAATCCTGCACATAAACATAAGAAGAGTGAGTGTCCTGCACAAGCAATACAACGACATGGTAATGAGGACAGCTTACGTCAGTCTGAGGAGAAGCGGAAGCTCCAATATCGATGATTGAAACACCCTCTGTTGCTCCACGCCCCAACGGTGTCCCTGCAGTGCCTGGACTGCTCCTAACTCCTCCTTTAAGTGCGGAAAAGAGGCCCTCTGCTCGCAGCGACCAGGGGCTTGAAGTCGTAGCCGGCTGCTTGTGGCACGAGGGAGAAGGGCATGCCTTCTCCATCACAACTCCTGCAGTCAGGAGACTGGCGTCGTCAACCCCAGCAGAAGTTAGCGGTGCTGCATCCGAGCCAGCAGTTTTGCCAGATTCCAGAGGAAGGACTGCCTCTGCCGAAATTGCAGGTGGTTCTGCATCAGCTTCCTTATCTTCCTTTAAGTCAGGCTGAAAATCTGCAGTTACACTTTCAACGGCTGGTTTGTTAGATGGTGCATGTTCCGAAGACCAACCCCCACTGAAGCTTCTCAGTGAGCTCATCCTGCTTGCAAAGTGGTCTGCAAAACTTGGAGGAACCTCCTCACCACCCTCTTCTGCCATCTCTTTGGCCTTAGTCGCTCCCGATGCAAAGAAGGTTGGTGTGCTGAAGAGACTGCGAAGGGCACTTTGTTTTTGGGGCAGCGGTGCATCAACAACCGGGACATGGTTTCCTTTTGGGGATTTTGTGGCAGCAGCATTCAGGCTGAAAAACGAAGGCTCCTTAAGCTCCTCCTCTGGCCTGTCTTTGAAAAGCCTCCGCATAAATCCAGGGGATGGCTTTGGCGTAGGCTTGCTGTCCTGCTCATGGATGGATTCCACTGCTGGAGAGGCATCTCTCCTCACTGAATCTGACAGTTGAGCCGGTGAAGCCTGGAAGCTTGTCGTGCTGCTACGCGGAATCTGTATGCCGTGGAAATGTTCATGCTCTGGGCTTGCCATATGCTCGAAGCTCACATCAGTTGGACTGGCCCCCAATTCCGGCCCTGCTCTGATGGATGCAGGTTCCACCTCTTGGGGAGCCTTTCGTCGAAGAGCACTTTTAGGAACCATGCTGACTGCTTGGCTCGCCGCCTCCCCCACCAGCAGCCTCGCCCCTGTTGCTGCACCAGCGACCGTGGCAGCCACTCCAGAAGCAGCACCAGCTGCTGATGCAACAACACCTGACGCTGCACCAGCAGCGGTGACAACAACACCGGAAGTAGCAGTGGCAGCGGTAGCGACAACACCTGCCGCACCAGCAGCAGTGGCGACGACACCAGATGCAGCATCTGCAGCTGTAGCCACGAGCGCTTTGAGCACCGTGGTGCTCGATGAGGTCATGAAATCCGCTTGATGCTGCTGCATTTCCTTCTGTTGCTCCCCTTCAACCTGCTCTTCGTGGCCATCATGTACTTCTGCATCTGTTGATCCAAGCTGTAACCGCTCCTTTGTTGAACTGGCGACTTCTGTCTTGTCATGCAAAATGCGACTTAAAAGTCCCAAGTGCTCACTCCCGGTGTTTTCTTTTGACTGTAACTCCTTGTGCGCATCTCCTCCAATCAAAGTCACTGCCTCCTTGCTCATGCCACCAGATCTCTTCCACATGATCCACTTGAGCAAGCCGTTTTCACTGTCCGCTGGCACTGCAGCTCCACCCTCATCCTGCGGAGCCTGCTCTGTTGGCTTGTCGGATGGATCAGGCCTTTCAGGTGAGTCAGCACTTGTCAATCTCTGCAGAAGACCTTTTTGAGCATCTGAATCAAGAGGCTCATCTGTTCCATCTCTCAAAAGCTCATTATCTTTTCCTCCAGCAACTGCTGCGCTTGTCTCAGCTACAGCAGAGTCTCCTACTCCAACAGATGAACAACCGTTCCCTGCGGCATCAGATGAATCTGTTGCTGAAGCTGTCGTCAGGCTTCCATCCAGTGAGCTCGGTCCTGCTTTTTCAGAAGACTCCCCAAATAACCGCTGAAAGAAAGTGTCATTCTTATCAGAAATTCGAAGAGTTTCCACCCCGTTGCCATCCACTGAGAAGAGCCGCCTCATGACACCAGCGTTTCTTGATTCACCTCCAGAATTGCGTCTGCCTTGATTCAACGATGGGCTGCAACCTCCTGCACTCACTCCTTCCTCTGCCTGAGTTTCATCAGCTTCTGTCACTGCTCCAAGTTCTCCCACAATGGTTGACGCTGCTTCTCTTCTTCCCCCCAAAAAGCTCCAGCTAGTGATGTTCTCTGGACGGGTCTGGTTGGTATCAGTAGCAGGCGCGCTGAGCTTCCGTTCACGGAGGAAACGCCAAAATGTTGACTCGTGGGTAACAACACCATCACTAGGTTCAGGCTTCAGACTCGATTCTGAGCTTGGTTCATCCTCAAGAGACGGAACGGATTCAGCGCCTTTGGGAGGTGGAAGCTCGTCGGATCCTTTTTGCGAGGTTTCTCTTCCCCAGACATAGCTCGGTGCAGATGCTAAAATGGAATGCTTGCCATCAACAGCGTGGCTGGAGGTCGAGGAGGCAGAAGGCAGGGGAAGCAGACGCCTTGAGGCTGATGACATGAGTTGAAACACGTTCTGGCGACCAAAAAACGAAACCCGTGGTGGTCTGGGACATCTTAGGCTAGGAACCGAACCCTGCATGGCAGCCTCGTAGAATTTGGCCTGAATGGTAGCAACGGACAGGTCGTTGGGTCGATCAGTGAGCTCAGCTGACAGAAACCAGTATACCTGAACGAAAAAACAACAGAAGGTCAGGCATTTTCAACAAACGCGCAAAATGCAGCTGTTTCACTGGACTGCTTACCCGCAGGAATGAGTGCAGCGACTGGGAACAGACATCGGTGGTATACTTTTCGAGAGACGGACTCGGTTTGTGAACAGCGAGGTAGCAAATCTGAAATAAGTAGTCCTGAACTCCTTCCAACGGTAACGCGTACATTCTGTCGCACAAATAGTCTCGCACGCCACCGCCTTGGTGCCTGAAACAGGAACGACACGACTGTCAGTATTCAACTTCCTTCGACCTTTTAACGAGAAACATTCTGTCCACGCCTACTTGAAAAGGTACGTGACGGCGATCCACTCGCAGAAAAAGGCGGAGTCAAAGAACCGCTTCAGCCAGCCACAATCAGAACGGAAGGTAAGCGAGCTGGGCTCGTCTTCTCCTTCTTCAAGTTCTTCAGAATCTGCAGAAGAGTCAGTATCACTGTCCGCCATCGCGTTGGCTTAAAAATAAAGAACTAGCGTAACGGGTTTACTAAAGAATTAGAATCTGCCTGACTGACAGAACCTGCGCTGCGACCTACTTGCTGAATACAGCATGCTCTGCAAACTATTCTTGAACTGCCGAGCAACGGTCATCAGCATCGATTGTTTCGGATGGAGATGCCCAAATGCCTGATGCGATGATTCGCCGTCCCGCAGATTCTATGAACATTCCTGATGCGTTGCGCAAATGCGATAACTACAGTTGCGGTTATCGAGTTAGTTCATCCTTGCTCTACCCAGATCATCTCAGAAATGTAATTTTAAAGGAAGACATCTCCAGCTTACATAATCCAACGAAGAAACAGAGGAAATAAATAGCAGAACACACAACAAATCAGAATCTAAGCAATTTCCTTCTTCAATGGCTCCGCTTCATCTACAGCTTTGACACTCGAATCGTTCCTGGTACTGTCCGTCACTGACTTTTGCTTCACCCAACCCACCGGCACATTTCCTTGTGCAACGGCAAGAATGTTGGTGAGGCGCCGTGCCACATCCCTCATCTCCGGCCTCAGGGCTCCAGGGCGCTTCAGGCAATCCATAGCCAGATCAACAAACATAATGATGGCATCAGGTGGGGCTTTCAGGTCCTCCATCACCACTTGGGTGATTTTGCCCGCCATCACAAGCTCATTCGCCTGCGCAAATGAAACAAGAATGCAAGACCAAAGTTAGCCACAAATACAATGAGCTTTAGCAAGACATGGCGATTTCTACACTGGTGCTCAGCACAAAAGGTCCGTACCCAGATGGAAATGTGACGGTTGCTGAAGGCGATATCACTCTCATCCAACACAGCCCGCTTCCCCGACACCATCTCCAGCAGCACCACTCCAAAGCTGAACACATCACTCGCCGTCGTCACAATCTTGCTGTCACCATAATCCGGGTCCATGTACCCGGGCGTGCCCGCCAGGTTCGTCGCATTCTCCAGGTTATCCGTCTTCACCAGCCCGAAATCACCCAGCTTTGCAGTCCTGCCCTCGCCAATGAGAATATTCGCGGGCTTCACATCGCGATGCACAATGGGAGGAGAGAGCGAGTGGTGCAGGTAAGCAAGACCCTCCGCCGCGCCCTGTGCGATGCGCAGGAGCTCTTCAAAGGAGAGCGACACACGGGTTGAACCAGGAGGAGCGTCCCCGGTGTGGAGGTAGTGGGAGAGGTCGCCGTGGGGGACGAACTCGTAGACGAGGATCTGCTCCTGGTGGCCCGTGGCCGCGTTGTAGTCCATGCAGTACCCCAGCAGCCGCACCAGGTGCTGGTGCCGCAGCGTTGCCACTGCTCGCACCTGCACCGGGGATGGTGGGGAGAGGGGAGAGTGGGGAGGGGTGGTAGGGAGGAGGGATGAGGGATGGAGGGGCAAGGACAAACAGGCATGGCGGAAAGTGACAAAGGATACCTAAGATGATGCAAGGCATGCTGTATTCCTGCTCTCAACAAACTCCTGCCACTCGATTGTAAAAAACTCACTCGGAAAGTGCCTGATTCTGCTCCCTTCCATGCTCACCCACCCCCCATCCCTCCCTCCCCTCGCCCCACCTCCTTCTCAAAGTCGTTGGTGAGGAACTTGGCGCGCTTGATGGCCCACAGGGTGCTTAATGACTCGACTCAAACCCCCCTCGCTCCCGCCCTCCCGCCCTCCCCCCCACCTTCCCTCCCTCCTCTCACGCACCTCCTTCTCAAAGTCGTTGGTGAGGAACTTGGCACGCTTGATGGCCCACAGGGTGCCGTCGGGGGCGGTGCCCTTGAAGACGCTGCCGAAGCCGCCCTCGCCCAGCTTGGATTCCGGCGCGAAGTTGTTGGTGGCGCGGCGGATGTCCTCTATGCGGTACGCCACACACTGGTCCAGATCGAGCGACCCTGGGGGATGGATGGGGTGAGGGGTGGAGAAGGGGGTTGATAGGGTGAAGAAAGGGAGAGTGAAAACCAGGCAGAGAGAAGTTGTTGGTGGCGCGGCGGATGTCCTCTATGCGGTACACCATACACTGGTCCAGATCGAGCGACCCTGGGGGATGGATGGGGTGAGGGGTGGAGAAGGGGGTTGATAGGGGGAAGAAAGGGAGAGTGAAAACCAGGCAAAGAGAAGTTGTTGGTGGCGCGGCGGATGTCCTCTATGCAGTACGCCACACACTGGTCCAGATACAACGACCCTGAGGGATGGGGAAGGGAACAAGGGGGGAAATGCGAGCATGCCGATTTGTGTGTAAATGTGATGGGGGTGGAAGGGCGTAGGTGGCAGGACAGGGGAAATGTGGGAGCGGGGGCAGAGGGTGTGGAAGATGGTGAAGAGGCTGCAGGGCTTTGACCTGTGAAGGCTGGTGAGGGTGAGGTGTGATGAGGTGTGATGAGGTGTGATGAGGTGTGATGCGGGGAGGTGTCAGTGCAATGCGGTGAGGTGTCGGTGCAATGCGGTGAGGTGTCGGTGCAATGCGGTGAGGTGTCGGTGCAATGCGGTGAGGTGTCGGTGCAATGCGGTGAGGTGTCGGTGCAATGCGGTGAGGTGTCGGTGCAATGCGGTGAGGTGTCGGTGTGATGTGGTGAGGTGTCGGTGTGATGCGGTTCAATACTGTTGTAGGTGCAATAAGAGCAAGGCAAGGAAGAATAAGCGAAGATGTGAGGGAGTGCGAGAGGTGGTGCAAGGCGGTGCAAAGTGGTGGTGCAAGGTGGTGATTCTGACTGACTTCTCTGAGAGGGGCGGAGGAAGAAGATGAGAAGGCCAGCGACAGCTGCAAGCAGCAGCACAGCGCCCACCACTATGCCCGCCACCGCTCCTGCTGACAGCCCCGACGAGGACGCTGCAGAGGGGGCGAGGAGGGGAGAATGGAGGGGATGGAGGGAGAGTGGTGTTTGGAGTGAGAGAGAGGGAGAGGGTGGTTTGGGGTGCATAGAAAAGCAGGCAAGCGGAGGTGATTGTTTGCTGGGAAGCTGGGACAGCAGCTCAAGCCATGGACTCAACATACCGGAAGGGGGCGGCAGCTCGCAAGTGGTGGTATTGGCAGTGCCGGCAGCAGTGACAGCAACGTAGCCACTGGCGCAGGAGCAGGAGAGGGACGGCGGCCAACCGCTCTGCACCACACACTGCCCCGCACCCGCACCCCCACAGGGTCCTTGCCCTGGCTCTATCCCACACACCGCGACACACTCTGTTGCCCCCCGCTGCTGCCCCACAACCTCACTCCCCACACAGTTGCCCTCCACAGCCAGCCACGCCACTGAGCTGCTGCTATTCCCCCCGCTCGCCCCTCCTGCTGCAGCTGCCCCCAGCTGCCCCCCTTGCGCCCCCCACACCCACTGAGGGTTCGTTGCTTCCTGGACTGCCCATGGGGGGAGGGACTGGGGTTGAGGGGTCGCTGGGAGGACGAGAGAGGGGATGGGGGGCGAGGAGGAGGAGGAGGAGAGGGTGATGTTGGGGGAGGGGGAGAGGGAGCCGTAGAGGTAGTTGCTGCTGAGGTCCAGGCTGATGGGCGGCATGTTTTGGAAGGTTGCGGCGTCCATGAAGAGCAGATTATTGCTGACGTCACTGGTAGACAGGTGCAGAGTAACGGGAAGCAGGGGGGGGGGTAGGGGCAGAGACGAGAGATTGGGACCAGATGTTGGCTGCGATGGTAGGAAGCGGTTTTAACATAACAGCAGGAGGAGGAGCAGAGACAGGGGCGAATTAGAGCGAGGCAAGGGTGACGGGGAACGGTGAAGGGTGAAGGGTGAAGGGTGAAGGGTGAAGGGTGAAGTGTGAAGGGGAACGGTGAAGGGTGAAGTGTGAAGGGTGAAGTGTGAAGAGTGAAGTGTGAAGGTTGAAAGGTCGAAGGTTGAAAGGGAGAACGGACATGAGTTGGACAGAGGAGACGAAGGGCAGGCACTGAGGGAGGGCCCCCGAAAAGGCGTTGCTGCTCAGCAGCCTGGAGTGGGAAGGGTGGGCAGGTGAGGTGGAAAGGGGAGTCAATAGAAAGAAAGAGGGTGAGGGGAGCGAGGAGGTGAGGAAACAAGGAATATGGATGGTGTGGGTAGATGAAGTCATGACAGCACTCAAAAGGATGAGAGCAGAGAGTAGGCGGCTGGCGCAGGGCGCAGTGCAATGCATTGGTGCCTGTACAAGCCTTTCTGTGCATGATGAAGTGCCTCTCTACATGGATGCTCACACTTCATAACCCCCTCTTTGCTACAGGACCTGAGTGAAACATAACCTGATTGCTACAAAGTGAGACCGCTAAATCATCTGAGCGTCTAGCATAGTGTGAAAGGTACAGGGTTTAGGGTGTGAGCATTACATGATCTGCAACGCAGATTGGCAGAGGTACTCGGGGATGGGGCCAGAGAGCTGGTTGTGGTGCAGCGCCCTGCAGGGAGAAGCATGGGGAGCATGGGGAGCATGGGGGTTGGGCATGAGGATTGGGCTGGCAGGAAGCAAGAGGGCGCATGGGGAATGGGGCCAGAGAGCTGGTTGTGGTGCTCCGCCCTGCAGGCAGGGGCAGGTGGGAAGCCGGATGGAGCAAAGGAGGCAATTGGGATTGGCTGAGAGGTTGGGGCATGAGAGGCTGGCGCGCGGGAAGCACGGGAGGAAATTGGGGTTGGCTGGGCAAGAACACGGGGGAGGCATGCACGGGGCAGGGGAGAGAAAGAGCGCGGAGCGAGCAAAGCAAAACGAGGAAGCGAGAGGAGTGCGGCTCAATGTCACACAAGCAGAGAATCTGGGAACACGACAGTGAGAGAAATGGCATGTGGTGGCACTCACAGCAATGCCAGTCGCTTGAGGTTGACATGCTGGCTCTCCAGTGTCCCCGAGAGTGTGTTGAATGAAAGGTCGCTGTGGAGCGGAGAGGGGGAGAGACAGGGTTGGGCGGAAATGGGAGGGAGAACAGGTGGGTGGGCGGAGTGGGAGGACGGAGAAAGCGAGGAGGGTTGAGAGAACCAGCACGAGGAAAGGGAGGGTGCAGGAGGGGAAGGGGGTGAGAGGGGATGGAGATATTGACTAACAAGATTCAAATGGTAAGTTGGCAGGGCTTTCGTGGTTACCAGGGCTCTCATGGTTACCAGGGCCCTCGTGGTTACCAGGGCCCTCGCGGTTACCAGGGCCCTCGTGGTTACCAGGGCCCTCGTGTTACCAGGGCTCTCACAGTTACCAGGGCTCTCGTAGTTACCAGGGCTCTCGCAGTTACCAGGGCTCTCGTAGTTACCAGGGCTCTTGTGGTTACCAGGGCTCTCGTGGTTACCAGGGCTCTCGTGGTTACCAGGGCTCTCGTGGTTACCAGGGCCCTTGTTGCTACCAGGGCCCTTGCTGCTACCAGGGCCTACGCACATGATGAGAGCTGGACTGGCAGCAGCGTTGGGCAGAGGGCCTGAGAGGCGGTTGCGAGACATGTTGCTGGCATGGTGGGCGGTAGCAGGGGACAGACAGAAGGAGAAAGGGCAGAGGGGCGGAGGTGAGATGATGTGAGGACGGATGGTGATGGGGCAGGAATCCAAGATGAATGGCTGGTTGTTAAATGCAGGAAGCTAATGGTGGGGTGTATAAATAGGGAAGTTGACTGACAGGTGGGAGAGCCGTCGAAGGTTAAAAATGGCGGGAGGCACCGAGCCGGAGAGTAGGTTGATAGCCATGTCCCTGCCATGGCACAGTGTGGCGTGGGGTGACGTGGGGAAAGGTAGGGGGGAGACATGTTATGGCCGCAGCGGGTCATGGAGCCATGGGTGGGTGGTTGATGGCCATGTCGCTGCCATTGCATGGTGTGGCAAGAGGTGGCAAGGCATGGCATGGTGTGGGCAAGGGGTGTATAGCATGCCAAGACAGTTTAGGGCCGCTGCTGGTCATGGGGCGAGGGTGGTTGATGGACACGTTGTTGGCATGCGAGAAGGCAGGGGGGTGGATGGATGGATGACCATGCATTCCTTGGATGGATGACCATGCATTTCTGCCATGAGTCATGGAATGGGTGCTCCATACTGGCATGGGATGGGATGACATGGCATAGGGTGGCATGGGATGACATGGCATGCTCCACATGAAGAGATGATTAGAATAGAAACTCACATAGAGGTGCCATACAGGTGGGTCGGTCATGCCATACAAGTGGATCATGCCATACAGGTGGGTCATGCCGATACATACAGGTGGGTCATGTTGGGCATGAGACCAAAGAAGGGGGGAACAGAGCCGTTTAATGTGTTGGCTGAGATGTCACTGCGGGGCATGGAGGGATGGAGGGATAGGGGAGAATGGCAGGGCATGGGGGGATGGAGGGAGAATGGCAGGGCATGGGGGGTAAATGACAGGAATTCAGGGGAGATGAAGCGATGGGAGTTGAGGGGAGAAGAGATCTGGGGAGGGGGCAGGAACGGTGATACAGCATGGGGAAATCAATGGTGTGGTAAGCTATTACAGTGTGCCCCCTGCCCCGTGTGCCATGCCCCATGCCCCACGCCCTACGTCCCATGCCCAATGGCCAACGCTCCATGCACCATGCCCCATGCACCATGCCCCATGCACCATGCCCCATGCACCATACCCCATGCACCATGCCCCATGCCCCATGCACCATGCCCCATGCCCCATGCCTTTCCCCACACGAGCGCCTCACACAATCTCAAGGAAGCGCAGAGGAGAGAGGGACGGTGTGATGTCTCCTGACAGCTGATTCGACGACACGTTGCTGGGAGGGGCCGTGCATGGGGTATGGGGCATGGGGTAAGGGTATGGGGTACGGGAGATGAGGTATGTGCTTGGTTTATGTGTTACGGAATATGGGTAGGGTAGGGTATGGGATGAAGAGTATGGTGTATGGGCATAGATAGATGGAGTCCGCACGGAGCATGGTATACACAATACAAGTGGGCATGCTGCAAGGAAGAAACGAGTGGAAGGACATGACATGACATGGAGCGAGACATGGCATGACGAGAAGGAGCAGTGGCGAGCAAGGGAGAGGAGGGCGCACAGGTAGGTGAGGGAGGCAAGGCGGGAGAGAGCCCGGGGAATAGAGCCCTGCAGCAGGTTGTGCGCCAGGTTGCTGGTCAAGGGGGGGACGGGGTGGGCGAGGGTGGGCGGGGTTGGGTAGGGGTGGGCGGGGTGGGTAGGGGTGGGCGGGGTGGGTAGGGGTGGGCGGGGTGGGTAGGGGTGGGCAGGGTGGGTAGGAGAAGGAGTTGTCCATATTAAGAGGTGACAGAGAAGTGCCTTGTTTCCTGATGTGCAATGTCATACGGTACGAGCTAACACCACCACAAATGCCTGACATGCCATCTCACATACTGACATGTCATCTCTGACATGTCATCTCACATGCTGACATGTCATCTCACATGCTGACGAGGTTAGTAGGGTTGCTGAGAGCTGACGGCACGGCCCCATTGAGCTGGTTGGAAGAGAGGTCGCTGCAGGCGGGGAGGGCGGCCACAGGGGCAGGGAAGAGGGGTGGAATGAGGGGGTGGGAAGTGGAATGAGGGCAGGGAGGCGTGGAGGTAAGGAGTGAGGTGGAGGGCAGGGTAATGGAGCGGTGAAGGCAGGGAGAGGTTTGAGGGCAGGGAGAGGGTGGGGGGCAGGGAGAGGGTGAGGGCAGGGAGAAGGTTGCGTGCGGGGAGGCACTTGGGGGGAAGGGGGAGGAGTGGCAAGGGGTGTGAAGTGAATACATTCACTCCACTTGCTCTCCCACCCACCCATTGCACCCACGCACGAATAGTGGACAGCAGAGTGAGGGCAAATAGCAAAACAAGGGCACATAGCAAAACAAGGGCACATACCAAAACAAGGGCACACAGCAAAACAAGGGCACACAGCAAAACAAGGGCACACAGAAGAGTGAGAGGGGGCATACAGCATAGTGAGGTTGGTGAGGAGGGAAATGAAGGCTGGAATGGACCCCGTGAGAAGGTTGCCTGACATGTCTCTGGAGGGGGAGGAGGGGCACAGGGACACGTTGGGGGGGAGACGAGGAGGGTATGGGCGTTGATAGGAGATGTAGAGAAGAGGTAGACGAGTGCAACCGGTGTGGTGGGGTTGGGACAAGGTGCAGGCCGACTCGGTGCAGATGGGACAAGGGTGCAGGCCGACTCGGTGTGTTGGACGCAGCGAATCGAGGAACGCAATGCCGTGGCTGAGCAGGTTTTCAGAATGAGTGATGTTTTCAGGCTTCTAAGAAAATGCACAGAGTGGCGGGAAAGGCAGGGCAACGCACAGGTCGTGGAGGTAGGTGAGGGTGGAGAGGGAGGGGTCGAGCACTCCTGAGAATCTGTTGTGCGAGTAGTTGCTGGACGATGGAGGAGGGGAGCAATGCAGAGGGGATGAAGGGGGGAGAGGGAAGCGGGGACGGTGATGGTTGGGGTCGGAAGACAGGGTGATGGAATGGAGAGTGATGGATGGATGGATAGATGGATAGATGGATGGGCAGGCATGGGTTTGTGCAAAAGAGAGTGGTTGCATTGCTCTGGTGTGAGGGGATGAGGGTGTCGAGATGATGGGAAGGAATGGTGCTTGGTGCGATGGTGGAACGAATAATTCTGCAGAATGGTTGTCACAGTTTGTCACAGTTTGTCACAGTTTGTCACAGTCAATGGCTGATGCCCGTGCGTTGCTGTGGGTGACTGCTCATGCATTCACCATTGGTATGCTGCTTATGCACTCACCACCACCATGCTGCATAAACATCTCACGCACATGGTAAAAGTTTTAGGACTCTCCGCTTGCCCCGAAAAGAACGCTCTGCCCGATAAATTGTTGTAAGATATGTCACTGGGAAGGGGAACCATGGCAGAGGAGGGGCAAATGTTTCAGCACTTCAAAAAACGCAGAAGAAAGGGTTTGGGAGAGGGGAAGGGGAAGAGAGTGAGGGGTGGGGGGAGGGGGAAAGGGCGGAGTCAAGGTTAGGGAGTGGGTAAAGCTCGGGTTAGGGGATAGGTGGACGGTGAAGGTGGTGAGGGCTTGCCAAAGGCTCAGCTCTCTGAGCCGCTTGCCTACTTTGGTGTTGATGTTCACACATCACGGACCCGGCTTTGCTGCGCTGTTCTTATTCCATTTGAATGACCAAGGCCTGGAACGCCGACCTGTTGCATTGCATGTTGTTTTTAAGAGTTCTCAAGAAGCATGTGCAATGCAAGGAGGGAGAGGGGCGACGCACAGGGTGAAGAGGGAGGGGGGGGGGGGGGAGGGGAGAGGGAGGGGCGCGGCGCACAGGGTGAAGAAGAAGTTGACGTTAAAGTCGAAGGGGATTTCCCCCGAGAGGCGGTTGAATGACGAGTTGCTGCCAGACATGCCGGGGCGCACAGGGGTGCACAGGGGGGCATAGGGGTACACAGGGGCACACAGAGACGGGATGAAAGAGAAAGGGATACAAGGAAAGTGATTTGGATGAGAGGAAGAAAGTTGGAAGGGAGGAGCGAGATTTGGATGGATGGGAGGACAGACATTTTGATGGGAGGAAAGAAAGTTCCTCCGAAAATTCATGGCTCAGAAGCCAAGGGCTTAGTTTTAGAAAGGCTCACAAATTCGGACCGCCAGGAGGTTCGGAGAACCTGAGGCCGGAAGGCAGGGGCCCTGTGAGGTCGTTCACTGACACGTCACTGGCAGACCGAAATGGAGGGGAGGGGTGGGTGTGTGTGGGCGGAGAAAGGAATTTTCAGTCAACTCAAAAAGGGATGGCAGGGCCCTGTGAGGTCGCCGAGATGGAGGGGAGGGGTGGGTGTGGGAGGAGGGAGGATTTTCAGCCGACTCGGAAAAGGAGGGCAGCGGCCCTGTGAGTTGGTGGTCTGACACGTCACTGGCAGACCGTGGTGGGGGAGGGGTGGGTGTGGGAGGAAGGAGGGAGGAGGTGAGGGGCATGACACAAAACGCATGGAGCAAAGTGCAGGGTGCATCGCGCATGGTGCATCGCTCACAGCACATGGCGCATGGGGCATGGCACATGGAACATGGTAGCAGCAAGGGGCGTACAAGACAGTGAAGACGTTGGTGGGCGGTATGGTCCCGTTGAAGCCTTGTGAGGCGCCTCAAAAGCACATGGTGCACGTCGTATGGCACTTGGGGCATGCATGGCGCATGGCACTTGGGGCATGCATGGCGCATGGCACTTGGGGCATGCGGCATGGCATATGGTGGATCATGGTAGCAGCAAGAGGCATACAAGTCAGTGAAGACGTTGGTGGAGAAGGTGGGCGGTATGGTCCCGTTGAAGCGGTTGCAGCACAGGAAGCTGAGGGAGGGAATGGGGAGACACAGGGATGGGAGAGCGAGAGAGAAGAGACACAGGGTGTTGGAACCCAAATGTGGAGGTTTTGTGCTGATCCCACACATGTGCCTTGAATAAACACTTTTTTTTTTTTTTCTCTGCGTGAGGCCAACAGTTGACAAACTGATGGTTTGAGACTGGCGTGCTGACTGACGTGGTGACTGACGTGCTGACTGACGTGGTGACTGACGTGGTCACTGACGTGCTGACTGACGTGGTGACTGACGTGCTGACTGACGTGCTGACTGACGTGCTGACTGACGTGCTGACTGACGTGCTGACTGACGTGGTGACACGTGGTGACTGACGTGGTCACTGACGTGCTGACTGACGTGGTGACTGACGTGGTCACTGACGTGCTGACTGACGTGGTGACTGACGTGCTGACTGACGTGCTGACTGACGTGGTGACTGGCGTGCTGACTGGCGTGCTGACTGGCGTGCTGACTGGCATACTGGCGGACATGGAGTGGTTGGTCTGCAGTGCGGTCAAGGCGTGGAGGGCAGAGAGGAGAAGTGCTCACATGGCGCTGAGGGAGGAGAGGAGAGCTCAGCTCACATGGCGCTGAGGGAGGAGAGGAGAGCTCAGCTCACATGGCGCTGAGGGAGGAGAGAGCAGCGAGGGGAGCGAGCGACCCCGTAAACATGTTGTTGTCCAGCTGGCTGCCGTGGGGAGTGGGGGGGGAGGGTGTGGGGTTGTGGCGGAATCTATTGCTAAGGCGCCTAAAAAATGGAGGCAGTGACCCCGTAAACGTGTTGTTGTTCAGCTGGCTGCTGTGGGGAGTGGGAGGGAAGGGGGCGTGGGGGTGTGGCGGATGGGACATGGATCAGGGGCCATGGGGGTGTGAGGGGTGGAGGGGGAGATAGCGTGTGGGGATACAGACAACATGGTGAATATTGGAGTGCGGTGCTACATTGGTCTGCGGCAGATGTGGCACGTGGAATGATGGAGGTTGCGTGGCATGGCATGGCATGCGGTGCGGCTGCGACTCACACGGAGCTGCAACTCACACGGAGCTGCGACTCACATGGAGCTGCGACTCACACGGAGCTGCAACTCACACGGAGCTACGACTCACACGGAGCTGCGACTCACACGGAGCTGAGGCTGGCCATGTTGGAGAAGGAGTTGGGGAGGGACCCTGACAGGCGGTTTCGTGCCAATCCTCTGTGCGCACAGTCATGTGCACGGGCACACGCACACAAAATTGAGATGGATATGAGTGAGATACAATGATCGAGAACGATGATAGGCAGAAGATGAATGAGACACGATGCTTGCGAGATAATGGTAAGATCTCGGCAGACCTCAGCGTTGAAAGGCTTCGCGGGCTGCAAAAATGTCACGGGCTGCAAAACTAACAAGTGCAATATCGGGACAGGACCACTCAAATCAAAAGGCCACTCATATGCACTGTTGCCATGCCATGGCTCTTTCACACTCACTGCTGCAAGCAACGGGTGGCTCACAAGTTGTAGAGATTGGTGAGGCGGCCTATAGAAGAGGGCAGAGTGCCCGAGAGCTCATTATCGAACAGGGCGCTGTGGAGGCAGAGGAAGGGGAGGGGAGGGATGAGGGGTTGTAGACGGGGAGAGAGAGAGGGAAACGATGAAGGGCATAAGTGTTTGGGAGGAGAGGATGCAAAAGGAAGGGAGGGAGGAGGGGCGAGGTGTGGTACTGATGGAATATGGGATGCTTGATTCAAGTACGACGCACGTAAGTGCATGCAGGGCGGCACACACGTATATGCTTGATGACAAACGCATATGCTTGATGACAAACGTATATGCTTGATGGCAAACGCATATGCTTGATGACAAACGCATATGCTTGATGACAAACGTATATGCTTGATGACAAACGCATATGCTTGATGCCACACGTATATGCTTGATGACAAACGCATATGCTTGATGCCACACGTATATGCTTGATGCCACACGTATATGCTTGATGCCACACGTATATGCTTGATGCCACACGTATATGCTTGATGACACACGTACAGATCGCCGAGAGAGACCATGCTGCCGATGGCTTCAGGAAGGCTGCCGGAAAACTTGTTCAATCCCAGGTACCTGGTAGGAGGGGCATGGCATGGGACGGCACGGGTAGAGTCAAAGCCGACCCACCAAAAAAATGCAACTGATGTGGACAAAAATGCGACTCACAGGGACGAAAATACGACTGATAGGGACGAGAATGTGAGTAGGCAAGGAGGAAATGTTGACTGACAAGTAGGAGAGCTTTTTGAGCTTGCTCAAGAAGGTGGGGAAGGGGCCTGAGAAGGAGTTGTTGGTGAGGTCCCTGCCATGCATGCATGTCACACACACTCGCACATGCACACATCGCACACATGCATGCATGCATGCATGCACACTCGCACACACATGCATGCACACACTCGAACACATGCATGCATGCATGTACATTCGCACACGCACACCAGTGTTCACACACAGTCGCACAAATGCATCCATGCACACTCACACAAGTGCATGCACACTCGCACACGTGCATGCGCACAGTTGCACACATGCATCCATGCACACTCACACACGTGCATGCACACGTGCATGCGCACAGTTGCACACATTCATGCACACCCTCGCACGCATGCACGCACACACTCGCACACGTGGACTCACATGCACGCATAGAAACAACAAAAGCGAGAATAGAGAGAACGTTGAAGGATATACACGTGAGCCAGTAGAACTGACAGAGGGTCGAAGCTACTGGCCTGTGGTACAACTGAATTGACGATTGGGCAAGAATAATCAACGTGGGGGCAACTGACAGAATTACCACGTTAACTGACAGAGGAGCGACGTTAACTGACACACGGACGAAGTTAACTGACCAAGAGGCGACGTTAACTGACAATGATGTGAGATTGACGAGGTTGCCGATTTCAGAAGGGATGGAGCCGCGCAGATAGTTGTCACGCAGAGACCTGCGGGTGGCCAGGGTTGTCAAGGGTGGCACCAGCACACACACATGGCATGGCAGCACACACGCATTGGTGATTGCAAATAGATGACGCTCAAGACCCGCGGATGGCCAGAGTTAAGGTGCTTCAAGCGCGGACGCTCACAGGTATTCAAGGTGCTTCAAACGCGGTCGCTCACAGGTATTCAAGGTGCTTCAAACGCGATCGCTCACAGGTATTCAAGGTGCTTCAAACGCGATCGCTCACAGGTATTCAAGGTGCTTCAAACGCGGTCGCTCACTGGTATTCAAGGTGCTTCAAACGCGATCGCTCACAGGTATTCAAGGTGCTTCAAGCGCGGACGCTCACAGGTATTCAAGATGCACCAGCTGGAAAATCTCCGAAGGCAGCTCCCCTTGGATCGCCTTGTACTGCCAGTTTCTGCACGCACAACAGCAACGGATCAAGGAAAAGAGAGCTTCACTTACAAACATCTCTTCCTCATGCTATTTCAAGAGCAATAGTAACCTAACCTGGGCATTCGCAGCAGCAATGGCATGAGCACAGCAGCAGCAGCAGCAGCAGCAGCAGCACTGACATTCCAGTGACGTAGCCATCGTCGCTGCAGGTGAGGCCGACATTGACGCAGGTGGTGATGAATGACATCTCGTACGGAAAGTAGTCCAGATTCGCTGCCACGCTTGCCAGAATCTCCGCTGCCAGGCACCAGACGAAGCACGTTACAGTACAGCCGGGGCTAGAACGCGTGAGAATGCGCTTACATTCGGGCAGCAGAAGTGAGCTGAGATTGCACTAAACCAGAGGATAAGCTCAGGCGAGATTGCGAATACTATGAAACGACGCGACATTGCGTGGAATACTGAGAATTGAACCGACATTGTTGAGAATCAAAGCTGATATTGCATGAAATACTGTAGAATGAAGCCAACATTCCTTGAAACGAAGCCGACAACAAATGTGAGAGCGAGCGTACACTGCGTGGAGATGAGCGGCCAGTAGCACTCCTGGCTCGCGCTCTGACCCGCGCACGGCGCGACGTTACCCGCCAGTAGTAACAGCAGCTGAAGCACAGCCGCTACCACCAAGGCGCATCGCTTGGGAGCCACCATCGATCCACCCGAGTTAAGAATCGTACGGTTTCCGGATTTCGAACCGATGTCTGCGGAGAGTTGGGTGAATAATTAACACGCAATATTGGCAACGACAGAGACTGTCAGGCTGTCAGGCTGTCAGGCTGCGAAATCAGGTGCGATGTGCAGCAAAGTAACAGCAGCTTACTTTATCGGAAAATCAGAGCATAAATTCCAAGGACTCGTCCTTGCAGCAGGAGCGTAGGAGTCGAGCCCGCAAAAAGTGTGACACAAAAATTGCTTTGGCTTTGATAAGCCGTCTCCTTCTCCTTTTCCAAGAGCATTAGAGGGACTCGTGATTCACATTCTTTTGCTGATGCATCACTTTGTCTGTGCTGCACGCCAAAACGTATGTGGTCGCCGCGGTGGTGTACTAGTGCACAGTGCGCTGTCAGGCAGAGCGACCTATGGTCATTAGGCGTTCCAGGCTGTACGATTCACCAGGTTCGCAACAAGCGATCGCATCAGGATTCAGGAGTCTGTGCGACAGTGGACGATAATGTACTCTCCAATCACCGCGAATCCTCCAACGACCTGGCACGGCGACGACCAAACATGTTCAGAAGTCACTTTCTATGAAGTTAGGGTTGCCATCCCACGGCAACTTGGCAAAACACTACAGTTTCGTGCAAGCACAGAAAGCCATGGCTCCTCGCTCGTGAGGTTGAAAAGGCCAGCCTAATCGCAGCCGCACGGCAGAGCAAATGGCGTGGCTCGTACTGTAGGCGCGGTTTTCAAGTGAGGGAAAAGTCTTGCTGCAAGCTTCGGTAATGCGGCGGCAGTCCCATACCAACTAGGCCAGGGCATGCGAAGCGATCCCAAGGCAAGGTTTGGCTTGGGGCGGCTGGCAAGGAAACTGACAGCGAGGCGAGGCGAGGTTCGAAATGATTGCAACACCGAGGGAGAAGGACAACGTTCAAGATGTCCGAACCAAAGCGGTTAGTTTCAGCGCCATCCGCGCTAAGCAGTTTATGATGCGATATTCGAACTCACACCTCGAGGAATTTCCTGTTATTTGATATTTGTTGACTATTTCTGCTCCACTATTTTATCAGTGCAATTTACACTGCTATACTAATTATAAGGGTGAAATTTAGGGCCTGTACTGATGTGTTTGGTAATTTTTTGGCGTGTTAGTGTTACACTGATATGTCAGTGTTCAGATTTAGGCCACACTGATGCTCTGGGGTAATATTTCCCTTAGCGAAGATTACCCTGAATAGCGTATAGGGAACCCCCCCACTGTCAGAATAATGAACGAGAATGAATGCATTGACAAGAAACTGAGTACAATTACTAACCCTAATTGGGTTGTACCCTTTATGAGCTACCCCACTACAGTCTACACAATGTAAGCACTATAACATTTTGACACACCCCCATGGGCAAAGTGGGGGAGAACAAGTGGTCACAAGACCAGTCAAGAAAAGCAAAGCAAGCTCAGCGTGGATCATGAAGTCACCACACATTCCGAGCACAAACAAATGGCCACAAGGTCAGTTCACATGCTGAGTTAAATAAAAGATAACAAACAGTACAGTGATCATACACTAGCAAGTGTAAGCATGCAGGTATATATATAGATCACAGTACAAACAAAGTCACACAGTGAGCAAGTGAGGCAAAGTAGGCACAATGCCTAAAACAGTACAGAAACGCTGATGATCACCAGACTGAAGTGCCTTGGTGAATATATCAGCAGTGTTGGCCCGAGTGGCCACGTACGAAAGACGAAGCTGACCACGCTGCTGCAGCTCTCGAGCAAGGAAGTAACGTAGAGCGATGTGCTTCGTTCTGTGCTCCAGTCTATGCTCCTAACACAAGGTAATCATGGCCTTGTTGTCTACGTATAGAACTGGAGAAGAACGAGGCCGCTCTCTCAAGTTCGTCAACAGGTAGGTGAGCCAACGTAACTCCTGTGCAGCCATGACCCCTGCGTAGATCTAAGCTGTGAAAATGAACGAGGAATGAAAAGACTAAGGGAAAGTTGGGTACAAGTACAAACCCTAGAAAGCTGTACCCCATATGTGCTACCCCACTATAGCCTACAGCAGCTAAGTCATATAAATCTGACACACCCCCATAGGCAAAGTGGGGGAGGACAAGGGGTCACAAGACCAGTCAAGCAAAGCAAAGCAAGCTCAGGGTGGATCACAACGTCACCACACATTCCGAGCACAAGTTCAAGGCCACAAGGCCAGTTCACATGCAGGATTACATATATATATAAGGCTAAACAAGCAAGAGCAGGTGTATATATATATGTAACAGTACAAACAAGGTCAAGGGGTGAGCAAGTGAGGCAAGGTAGGCACAAGACCCAGCTGAGTACAGAAGCGCTGATGATCACAAGGCGCAAGTGCCTTGGTGAAGATATCAGCAGTGTTGGCCTGAGAGGCCACGTACGCAAGGCGTAGCTGACCACGCTGCTGTAGCTCACGAGCAAGGAAGTAGCGAAGAGCAATGTGCTTCGTTCTGTGCTCCAGTCTCTGCTCCCGACACAAGGCCAGCATGGCCTTGTTGTCTACGTACAGCACTGGAGGAGAACGAGGCGGCTCTCCGAGGTCAGTCAGCAGGTAGGTGAGCCAGCGAAGCTCCTGTGCAGCCATGGCCCCTGCGTAGATCTCAGCCTCACAACTGGAGCCGAGAACAGAAGACGAGCGGGTAGCCCGCCACGAGACAGAGCCGGAACCAAGGCTGAAGGTGTAACCCTGTGACGACCGCTGCGTAGCCTGGTCGTCAGCCCAAGAAGCGTCTGCGTGTCCAGTGAGGACCACTGGACTCTGCCCTCCAAGCACAAGCCCCATGCCCGACGTACTGCACAAGTAGCGCAACACCCTCTTCGCTGCAGCCATGTGCTCCGGTCTGTGTCTCCCAGGAGCAACATAGCGTGCAAGAATGCTAAGAGGGTATGCAAGGTCAGGTCGAGTGCAGGTCATCAGGTACATGAGGCAGCCAACAAGCTCTGGGTACGGGCCACTCGACTCTACGGACTCATCCGAAGGCAGAGCTGAGAGCGAGTGGCGAGTAGGCAGAGGAGTGGCCTGAGGCGAGGAGTACGTGAAGCCGAAGCGCTGAAGGACCTGCTGCACCATGTGTGACTGAGTCAGGGTAATGGTGCGGCGTGCTCTGTCCCGGGTGATCTGCAAGCCAAGGTAGCTGCGCAGTTCACCCATGTCTGTGCACGTGTGTCTCTTCTGCAGCTCGGACTTCAGGTGGGCGAGTCCAGCAGTGTCAGCTGTGGCAAAGACCAAGTCGTCGACGTACACGAGGATGTAGAACGGCGGCAAAGAAGTGTCGGTGCGCAGAAACAGCGACGGGTCGGCAGTAGAGGGAGCAAACCCAAGAGCCGCAAGCGTAGTCCTCAGTGTGTCGTGCCACTCACGCGGTGCCTGGCGGAGACCGTAGACTGGCCGCCGGAGGCTCCACTGGGTGCCAGGAGGAAAAGTCCCAGTGAAGCCAAGTGGGCGGCGCAGCCAGATCTCCTCGTGCAGGCTGCCCTGCAAGAAAGCAGTGCTGAAGTCAAGAGAGTGTAGCTCGTAGTCACGGTGAGCAGCTATGTGCAGCAGTACCCGAAGAGTGGTCATCTTCGGGGTGGGAGAGAAGGTCTGAAAGTAGTCAACTCCCTGCCGCTGACTGAAGCCACGAGCCACGTAACGCGCCTTGAAGACAGGCGGAGAACCCGGCGGCCGCTTCACCCTGAAAATCCACATGCCACTGACGATGTTCGCCCTAGGCGGGGGAACCTCGTCAACGTAGGTGCCTGTGGACTTCCAGGAAGCCATCTCTGCGTCCATAGCTGCCTGCCACTGAGAGGAGTAGGGACCCTCTATCGCCTCCGCGTAAGAGCGCGGAGTCGGGATGTCAAGTGCATCCGGGTCTCCCTCAGGGGTAAGCAGTACGGACACGAGATGAGGTGAAGCAGCAGCCAAACACTGGAACTCCTCCTGTCTGTCCTCAAGGACGTCCGTGCCAAGGGCACACTCACCCCCGACGGACGGAGGACAGACAGACTCAGACGCAGCAACAAGACTAGCAGCGTAATCTAGACGACAGCGAGCAGCAAAGTCGATGAGCTCAGCAACTAGGGCAGACGCAGCAGTGGACTCAAAGGAAGGGTCAGTGACAACAGTAGCAAGGAGACGCGTGACAGTCGGACTGGCAGCACGAAGGGAGTCCGACTCCGGGTCAGCAAGAGTAGGAAGAGAGGACTCAGGAGGATAAGGCAAAGGGGCACGCAGAGGAGCAGTGGACGGACGGAGAGACATCCGGTGCGTGCCGGGCACAGGGGGAGGACGCTGACGCGAACCACGACCACTAGCGCGAGCAGCACGGATAGGCGACGCAGGACGAGACGCAGGCTCACGACGCTCACCAAGACCTCCAGTAGGACCAGTGTAGGGAGAAGGAGCAGGCAGTGGGGAGGCCGGCTGTAACTGTAACTGTGACGGGACAGGCTGTGGACACTCTAAGGGAGGAGGAGGACCAGTAGAAGGCGGGAGACCAAGAACCTGCTCAAGAAGCGGAACGAAGTACGGCCGAGGCCGCGCAGCGACTCCAGACACAGCAGGGACAGCACCAGTACCCCCAGTGGTAGCACCAGCGCCAGCAGCACCTCCAGCTCCAGTACCCCCAGCAGCTCCAGTAGCTCCAGGACCTCCAGCAGCACCAGTAGCACCCCCAGCAGGACCGCCTCCAGTACCGCCAGCAGTACCCTCAGCGCCAACACCCTCAGCAGCTCCAGCTCCAGTCGGACCACGAGAAGACGCAGTGGCTCCAGCTCCAGTAGTACCCGCAGGCCCAGCAGCTCCAGTACTCCCAGTACGAGCACCTCCGGGACCCGTGGCACCAGCACCCTCAGCAGCCGAAGAACCTCCAGCTCCAGCAGCACGCCTCCAGCGCCGGGCAAACCACTCACGCACCTCCTGTGGAGAGAGTGGCTCCCGTCGAGACGGAGCACCCAGAGAACCTCCAGGCCCAGCACCGCCAGACGCCACACGAGCAGGCCCAGCTCCCTCAGGCTCCGCAC